AGCAGAGGCGGTCACAACCAGGGACATCAAAACAGGACCTTACAAGCAAAAAGCGAAAACAATGAATGGGTTGTCCACACCTCTCCCACCCATTGATGTAAGCGTGTTCACTGCAGTTTCATTTTAAAAAGGAATTAATCATTTATATGTACAGTGTACACATAAACTTGCTCAATATGTAAATTTTAAAATAAACCGGCATATTATGAATATTCGTATTTTTTGCCAAAAGGATAAAACTTCAATTGACTTGAGCTACCTCTAAATATTGTCCAAATGACCCAGGATTTCGCCTGTGTTCTTTTTTCATGGGTACGCAGTATTGGACCAATGGCCATTCCATTTAATCAATTTTAGAAATTCACCCCTATGCACTATTGTCACCCTATTGTGGATGGGTAGTGGACACGACTTTTGTGCACGAGAGTACAGAGCTGTAGATATCTCACAAGAGTTCGAATTACCACTGGCTGTCCCGCCAGTCTCCGGTAACTTCCCGACAATCGGTATCTGTACAGACAAACAACAGGCAGGTTTCTTAGTTGTGAGGCGAGAAACTGACTCCTAGTCATTCAGTACACCAAAATAAGAGAGCCGTGGCTCACTGACTCCTAGGCGGCGGAGTCATGAGTTACGAGGTGAAAGAAGATTATTAGGGGTGGAAGAAAAAGGGGTGAAACTGAAATACAGTAGGAGTAGAAAGAATCTGGGCTCAACCAGATCGCTTCATCTTTCCTATTGGTGTTTTATCTTTGTTTTTTCTCCCTTGGGTCGTCAGACCTTTGTATCAATAATGGTTTATTTATATAGTGCTGCTTTATATATATATATATATATATATATATATATATATATATATATATATATATATATATATATATATATATATATATATATATATATATATATATATATATATATATATATATATATATTGCATAATATTGCATTATATTTAAAAGGAAATGCAGTGAGTTTGTCCTTAGCCTTGCATATGTCCAAAACTGTTTGCTTTTGAACACCATACTCGTCACAAACTCTAGCCACCGAAGCAGCAGCCTCTAACTTTCTTACAAGTTCCAGTTTCTGCTTCATAGAAAGGGTCACATACTTCCTCTTCGGCATATTACTCCCCCTTGAAGACATGATGTAAAATACAAGGCTGAAAGATGCCTAATCACTGAAATATCAACGAAAATTGCAGGGCAACACAACACTGATACTTGAATATGGCGCTAAGTCAACAATGACTGGCGGTCTGGCGCGCGCCATCTATCGGACAATCCCAGAACCAGAAATTTGATACGGACAGTCCCTCGCTTAGTCCAGATTTCGTCCGAATTATCCGAAATCCGGATTAAAGGGGTCCGAATTAACGAGGGTCGACTGTGTGTGTGTGTGCGTGTGTGTATATATATATATATATATATATATATATATATATATATATATATATATATATATATATATATATATATATATATATATATATATATATATATATATATATATATGGGAAAAACATATTTTGTGCATATAAATACAGTAAAGTACACTACCGATACTACTGTATGTAACTGCATCAAACATGCCTTAACTATGTTTGGAAGATAATTCACTTTCAAATTTCCCACCACCACGCATGCAGAGAGGTGGAAGAGATGGTTGGCAGCGACTGCACTAAGCATCTGGCAGTCTCATTGCCCATTGTTGTAAGCAAATTAGGCTACTCACTTTCATCTTGTAGATTACTATTGCATATTGTATGATGATTTCTTAGGTTATGAGTTCCGTAAGATTATTATGAATTGTATGAGTTGACTCGATAAATATCTCTTATGTTATGTTCTTTGATAATATTTCCTCTAGTACATTTACTATTAAACAAAACATGTTGAACTAATGTGAAAATGTATTATAATTTAACTCAATAAATCTATCTAAACTAAAAAATCAGTACATTTTCAAATTAAAATTATTGTATGTACTTTACAGTACAGTGACCCCTCGTTTAACGAACACCTCGGTTAATGTAATTTCGATTAACGAACTGCCTTCCATAAGGATCTTCAATTCGGTTAACGAAAAAAATTTCGCTTAACGAACTTCTTACGAACCGACCTCAACATGTTTTCGCTTGCACTGACAGGGCAACCAGCTTTAGTATCAGTCCGCCTATACATTAATCGGTTCTAGGGCTTAAATTCCTTACTATTTTAGTATATATCAAGAAGTTTATACTATTCAATAATTTTAAAAGTTTAATATTCAATTTTTTAGTCATTTTAACAATTATTGAGCAAAATTGAAGGTAAAGTGACTAGTTTAATGCGCGGCATCCAGCCTCTTAGCACAGCAAACAGGCGTCAGTCTCTCTCTGTTTTCACTGGAGGTAACATCTTGCTTGAAACTCTCTTCAACTAAACGCTTTTTTTCTGTGTTTCCAAGCAAATTATTGGTCATTTTGAAAATCATTTTACATATTGACAATATATAGTGCAGTGCAGTGTTATTTTAAAGAAAATATTCTTTATTTACAGCTAGTTTAACTTTGAAAAATACGTGTTGCCATTGTTTGAATCCAGCATGGGGCCTAAGAGATCAAGAAAAGCGATTTCAATCCAAATAAAGCAGGAAATAATAAAAAAACACGAACAAGGTATTAAATCAAATGCGCTATGCAAAGAATATGGCATGTCGGCATCAACTGTGTCGACAATTCTTGGACAAAAAGACAAATTTAAGGAAGTGAACGTGAGAGACAAATCTACAAGAGTGTTTAAAAGTAGATCCCTAATCGTAGAAACTGGGAGGTTACTTATCATCTGGATTAGGGAAAAACAGATGAAAGGTGATTCAGTTTCTGGTGATTTCATTTGTGAAAGAGCCAGGGAGATTTATGAACATTTAAAGGCAGATCAACCTGGTTCTTCAGGCACAGAATTTGAAGATTTTCGGGCCAGCAAAGGCTGGTTCGAAAAATTTAAGAAAAGAAGTGACATTTTAAGTGTTGTTAGGCATGGTGAAGCTGCTAGTGCTGATAAGGAAGGGGCAGCAAAGTTTTTAGATGAATTTAAAGAACTGATGGAAGAAGAAAATTATCTTCCACAGCAAGTGTTCAATGTGGACGAAACTGGGCTGTTCTGGAAAAAGATGCCCAAAAGAACATTCATCACCAAAGATGAAGCCTCTTTACCTGGGCATAAACCCATGAAAGACCGTCTCACTCTATTGCTTGGTGCCAATGCTTCAGGGGATTTCCGACTGAAGCCTATGCTTGTCTACCACTCTGAAAACCCCAGGGTGTTCAAGCAACAGAAAGTGGTAAGAACAAAGCTTGGAGTTTATTGGAAGTCCAACCATAAGGCATGGGTGACAAGACAGCTCTTTAATGAATGGGCTGTTGATGTGTTTTGCCCTTCTGTCAAGAGCTACCTAACCACCAATAAACTCCCTTTAAAGGCTCTTCTCCTCATGGATAATGCTCCTGGTCATGACCCTGACCTTGCCAGAAATTTGGAGTATCAATTTGACTTTGTGAAAGTGTTGTTTTTGCCTCCAAACACTACATCAATCATACAGCCAATGGACCAGAATGTGATCAGCAACAGCAACTTCAAGAAGTTGTACATGAAGAAAATGTTTAGGAGGTGTCATCAGGCAACTTCCAATGATCCTGAACTAACACTGAAACATTTCTGGAAGACACAATTCAACATCCTGGAGGCTGTAAAATTGATTGTGTCATCATGGCAAGAAGTCTCCACTAGATCCCTCAATTCTTCATGGAAAGCACTGTGGCCATCAGTAGTCCATGATTTTGAGGGATTTGAGGAAGAAACAGTTGGACCAGGAGGTTGTGTCCATTGGTCAGTCATTGGGCCTTGAAGTGGAGGAGGAGGATGTGGAAGAGCTTGTGATGTCTCATGAGGAGGAACTTACTCCTGATGACTTGAAGCAACTGGATGAGATGTTACAGGTAGAGGCTGACAGTGGTGAGGAGGAAATTGAAAGTGATGACCATATGTCAGCTAAACAGTTGAAAGATGTGATTTACTACTGGGAGAAGTTCAGGGAACTGGCTTCAAAGCACCCAGAAGTGGAAAAAACTGAACTAACTTTGTGTCATGTTGAGGACTCAGTGGTCTCCTTCTTTAAACATAAGTTAATGGTGAGGAGGACAGATGCCCCACAGACCACAATTGACACTTTCTTCAGTAAAAGGCAGAGGGAACAAGATGCTATCCCTCAACCTTCCACTTCAAGAAGGAGAGAGGATGTTCATGGTGGAGAATCTGTCAGTCCAGAGGTTCCTGACATTTTCATGGAAGGTGACTCACCTTCCAAGAAGCAGTAAAATGCTTCTCCTCCACCTCCACTTCCTTCTCTTCTCCCTTCTCCACCTCCCACTTCAAATGCACATCATCATCATCATCCAGGAGCCTTCTACATACACACCTCAAAGTAAGTGAACTTTTCTACCATTTTTGTTGAATTTAGGCAATTTTCGGTGAGCTGGAACCAATTACCCAAAACCCATTGAAACAATGGTTTCGGTTAACGAGATTTTCGGTTAACGAGCAACCTGCTGGAACGGATTGTGCTCGTTAACCTAGGGACCACTGTATATGTATATGTATATGTGTGTGTGTGTGTATATGTATATATGTGTGTGTGTGTGTGTGTATATGTATGTGTGTGTATGTGTGTGTATATGTGTGTATGTTTGTGTGTGTATGTGTGTATATGTGTGTATATATGTGTGTGTATATATGTGTGTGTGTATATGTGCGTATATATGTGTGTGTATGTATATGTGTGTGTCTGTATATATGAGTGTACAGTATGTGTGTATCTGTATATATGTGTGTGTGTGTGGGTGTGTGTGTGAAAAATTATGATCTTTTACAAGACATGTCAGAAATATTGGTAAACAAGAAAGTAAAAAAAAAATTATCATGAAAATGGAAGATAACTGACAATAGGGCGAGACATCTTACCTCACTTTTTCTTTTTCATCCGATGTACATATTTTAGCAAATGGCTCAGGTTGGTACCAGTCCCAGAAGTAAATTTCATTGAATGTTGCTATGACAAGGACTTGGTCTGTCGGGTGAAAGGCTAAGGAGGCGATGACCGTGTTCTTCTCTGTCGTCCACACTTCACTGCCGCCCTGTGAACAACAACCGAGCTTAAGCAAACACTGTAATGAAATGCAAGTCCACATCCACTTAACACCTGAATCACTTCCATACATTAAAGTCCACATGATAGATTTAGCTACAATAATTGTCTTTAATTTAAATGTACTGTACAGGTAGTACCAGTTTATCACAAAGGTTCTGTTCCTGAACACCCTTGTGATGTGTGATACTATGATATGTGAAAAAAAAAAATATATATATATATATATATATATATATATATATATATATATATATATATATATATATATATATATATATATATATATATATATATATATATAAATCTGGCATAATAAAACCATCATTTAAGGGCCTGGTTAAATACAATGATAAGCATTAACTTTTCAATTCCCACCGATTTCCAAGCTACCACTTGGAAGGAGCGAGAGTGAATGAGTTATTCAAATCTCAGGTCCAATGCTCCATTTACAGCCTACCATCTAACCCGAGAGAATCCTGTGTGTGAAGTTAGCTAGATGGAGGGAGGAGGGTGACAAAAACTTTCAAACTAGTTCTAATGTGCCAAGCAACCAATAAGGGGAGTTAACCTTACTGCAATAGTAAAGCACAAGGAACATATTCCCCAACACTACACAGTTCTCTCACTTCAGTACTGCATCAGTCCTGGCTGAGGCCAGAAACAACTCTTGGGAACATGTTCCCAAGAGAGGCCAGATATGTGATGCCCCTGATATTATAAGAATAATTTTACAGATACAATCTTTATAAGTTACAGATTTAAATCTATTTTACAATACCAGTGTTACTTGATGGTAGCACTTTGTATCCTCAGGGAGGAGCTCACTGTCTTAACAGGATAGAGAATGCTATAAATAAAGTTTCTAGATATAGTAAATTCCACTAATATGATGCATCACCAACCTTCAGGAGAATGCTATAAATAAAGTTTCTAGATATAGTAAATTCCACTAATATGATGCATCACCAACCTTCAGGTCCCACACCCTGACTTCACCACCAAGGCATCCAGAAGCAATTATCTCATTAGATGCAGGGTGGAAGGCCACACACCAGGGAGTTCTGGGGTGACCTCCCAGGGTGCATATACAATGTCCAGTCTTTACTTCTGTCACATAAATGTTATGGTCTCCATGAGTTGATGCAACTTTTGATCTGTGGGTAAAGAAATAAATGCTGAGGTATACATCTCAAAAATTACTATAAATATGGAAAAAAAATAATCCTACAAATTTACACAATTTATTGATGTATGAAAAAATGTGTGTGTAAGAACACAATTTGGGGAGGTTTACTCATGTACAAGTTTGTGAAGCAAGTACAGGTGTTGACTGTTACATGATGGGATTAGGGACTTCGAAAAGCCACCGTAAGGTGATCAATCATAGAGTATATCGATATTCATAACTTATGGGGAAAAATAGGTTCCGTTGCCGAGACCCTGAAAAGCCAGGGATAGCATTCAAAGCAGTTACTTTGGGGATGTGGGCTAGTGTCCACCCGTGCAAGATGTCTAGCTTAGACACTTGGAAACTTTTCCCATTAACCGGAAATGGTTCTTGGGATAAGTAATTTTTCCGGGTTTGGGAAAGTTGTCTGGTTACCCGGAAATCTCTCAACCCCAGAAGAGTTCTGCACCAATAGTTCCACCTAACGGGGATATCATTTGAATATAAAAATATATGCGCAATAATTGGAGAATTATGCAGCCACATTCCCTAAATTATATTATTCTCATAACCAGATATTTTCCTCCAACACACTGCAGGAGGGCTTGATGAAGGAATAGAATCTATTCCCATTTAAATTTAACTTTAATAAAGAAGTTTCTGGAAATGAAGTGAATTTCATGAACATCCATTTCACTGCCAGAGGTACAGTATTACCCCGGTTTACACGGTTTCACTTTCCGCGATTTCTCATTTACACGGTACCTTGCCAGAACCGGACTTTCACTTTCCGCGGAGCATCTACTTTTTTTTTTTTTTAGCTCATAAAATTCATACAAATTACCCTGCCAGAATATAATTTACATTGCTGGAATTCTTACAATATGATGATCATTTTGAATATAAACATCATGGATTTTGCATTAGACATACAAATTTTAGATCTAATGTAATAATTTGGTTTACACAAAGCAAATATTTTATCGTTTGTGCAAAATATATAATGTTTACATTCAAAATATTCCCTGACCTGCAAGGAATCTAGAAATGTCAATTATATTATCCTAACTTTAGTCTGGGTTATTATTTATTACTAAAAATGTAAATATACTATTTTCTCCCAATCACTTCTCTGGTAGGGAGGAAAGGTGGGGGTATTTTGATTGACAGATAGTGTCCTTGAAAAATATTTTTGTTTATTTACTGAAGATATATGTTTTAGCTCATAAAATTCATACAAATTACTCGGCCAGAATATAATTTACATTGCTGGAATTCTTACAATATGATGATCATTTTGAATATAAACATCATGGATTTTGCATTAGACATACAAATTTTAGATCTAATGTAATAATTTGGTTTACACAAAGCAAATATTTTATCTTTTGTGCAAAATATATGAAGTTTACATTCAAAATATTCCCTGACCTGCAAGGAATCCAGAAATGTCAATTATATTATCCTAACTTTAGTCTGAGGTATTATTTATTACTAAACGTTAAAATCTAGTGTTTTCACCCAAACATTTCTCAGAGAGGTAGGAGCTAGTGAGCTGGGAAGAGGGGGGGGGGATTTGAGTCCATTATTTGAATGGACATTAACCTGGCGACTGTATTTCTCTTAAATATTAATTGTGTGAGCATACCATCATAAAATTTAGATGTTATTTTTACTACAACATAGGTATTGTGTCGGAAAAAGTGGAGTTTGGAGGTAGGGCCAGTCTCTATTGGAATTAATCCCATATGTTCTGTTGTTCACTGTAAGAGCGGAAACGATCCTCCGGCTGGTTACCGCTGCTAACTCGTTCGTTTGCTGGTGCAGACGACACTTGGGGTGGTTGGACGGAGGTGAGAACGGCAGCGACTATCTGCGCCACTGGCAGATTCAACCCAGCCGCCATACCGTCAGTATCTAGCTACCCTGCTGTCCGTCAAATTCTGGCTGTGATCTCATCATAGGTCCCGGACTCGTGGGCTGTGTTCCCAGACCTTCACATATCAACTGTCAACTCTCTGGTCATCTACCACTACCGCATACCACTACCGTCAGTTCATCTCATTCCGTCTGTGCCCCGGTGTTCTCCTGCCATTTCAAGAGGTCGCTCGAGTGCGGAGTTGGATGGACGCTTCCTTACCCTGAGTGTACATCACCGTGTTCCAGAACCATCCCCCAGGGCCACTGCCGTAGGAAATATTTGTTCATGGTTTGATTCTATAATTGTTTGATTCCATTAATTGCTGACTCCCATTATTTGTTTGATTCCTTTAATTGTTTGCTTCCATTAATTGTTTGACCATTAATTGCTGACTCCCATTATTTGTTTGATTCCTTTAATTGTTTGCTTCCATTAATTGTTTGACCCCATTATCTGTTGACTGCCTTAATTGTTTGACTCCCGTAATTATTTGATGTTTGTTGAGTGGTGTCAGAGTTTTGTGTTATATTTTTATAGTAAAGAGATGCCAATCTCAAACGGTTGTTTGTTATTCCTCGGAAAACCTTGGTCCTTGACTTTCCTTTATTAAGATCCTGATTAGCCTGGTAAGGGATTTCTATCCCTAAGTCCCAGGTCTTTACATTCACTTTCCGCGGTACCCTGTGGGTTCAATTGACCGTGTAAATCGGGGTACTACTGTATAACTGTGTCTGATTTAGTGGAATCCCCTCTTTTGTGGAATTGGTCTGTCCACTTTATTCAGTTATATGGAATTTAAACTACAGTACAGTGACCCCTCGTTTAACGAACACCTCGGTTAACGTAATTTCGATTAACGAACTGCCTTCCATAAGGATCTTCAATTCGGTTAACGAAAAAAAATTCGGTTAACGAAGTTCTTACGAACCGACCTCAACATGATTTTGCTTGCACTGACCGGGCAACCAGCTTTAGTTTCAGTCCGCCAATACATTAATCGGTTCTAGGGCTTAAATTCCTTACTATTTTAGTAAATATCAAGAAGTTTATACTATTCAATAGTCATTTTAACAATTATTGAACATAATTGAAGGTAAAGCGACTAGTTTAATGCGCGGCATCCAGCCTCTTTACACAGCAAACAGGAGTTAGTCTCTCTCTGTTTTCACTGGAGGTAACATCTTGCTTGAGACTCTCTTCAACTAAACGCTTTTTTCTGTGTTTCCAAGCAAATTATTGGTCATTTTGAAATATATTTTACATATTGACAATATATAATGCAGTGCAGTGTTGATTTAAAGAAAATAATCTTGAATTACACCAAGAGAGCTAAAATTTTATGGGTGAAATGGTGCCATGGGGTGACTTCTCTTCCACCCCAATGCCTTCTCTTCTTCCTTCTCCTCTACCCCCATTCTAAATCCCATCATCATCCAGGAGCCTTCTACATACACACCTCAAAGTAAGTGAACTTTTCTACCATTTTTGTTGAAATTAGGAAATTTTCCGTGAGCTGGAACCAATTACCCAAAAACCCATTGAAACAATGGTTTCAGTTAACAAACGACCTTCTGGAACGGACTGAGTTCGTTAATGGAGGGGTCACTGTATATTAAATATATAAAGAAACAAAATTATTAATTTTCTTCTCTCTCCTTTGGTGTAATTTTCTCTCAACAAACTTTGTGATGGTGAACTGTAAAAATGCTACATGTTGAACTCACAAGCAGATACAGTACAGTTCAATATTTGTCTCCCATTAAACCTGTACCACAAAAAGTGATTTTCGTGGAGGAGAAAAAATTACCATCTACTTCCCCAAAAAATAAGGTAAATTGACTCTGAGATCCCATTTTATAACTGTGTTGAGTTATCACATCTTAGGGGTTCAATAACCAGGCTGCAATATGCATCACAGAAATTTAATACAGTACCTGTACAGTATAAATGAGGACTACTGTACCTGTAGTAAGGTGTGTGATACTCTTTAAGTACTTCTGACTACTGTATACTGCACCACGTGGGAAAAAGTTTACATGGAGTGGGAGTAAAATAAGTTATGAGCTATAGTACTAACTCAAAAGTAACTCACCCGTCTGGACTAAAAACCATCAAGAATGTAGACTTGGGTGCCCCCGGGAGCTGACATGACAACTGGTTGTGCTGGCGATACACCAATGTCTCCTCTGTCACACGATGTAGTTGATTGATGGTAGCCTGTGGGTACCTAGTGGGTACTTCTCTTCTGGCAAGAAGAACCGGAGTGGGCACCAGAAGTGGGTCATGATACCGTATAATCCCTTCCACCTCCCCCCCTAATTCTAGCTTCATATCTGTATCTGGGTCATCCATCCTAGAGAAAATATAAAACATTATCACATCAGCATCAAAATAATAAACTGAATTTTTTTTATATACTGTACTGTAGATAACAATAAATAGGATAAATTGAAGGGATGTTCACTAAATGTAGTCCAGTCAGAACATAGGGTCCTGTGCATTTAGTTAAGGGAACAAATTTGTTATAATTTAAGTACATTACAGTATAGAGATCTTTATGATGAATTTGAGCTTGTCTTATTTTTAAACCCGTCATTTGGCCCAAACCTTGGAAAATGGCGGCCAAAATGACACAAAATTCAAATGGACTCTCTTCAATTAATAGTGTATCAGTAGAGATGATATTTTCATACAGCTTGTTATATAACTTGACAGAAGTAAGACATCTTATTCAGAGGATTTTTTTGTCAGGGTAATATTTTTTAAGTTGAGCACAGCAAGTCACACATCTATGCCATAGATGTGCACCAAAGAGAGTTATTCAGACACTACTGTATATTCCCAGGGCACATTTTCGGTCACCGTAACCCTACCCTTTTCAGTAAACCTCATAGAGTAAAGGATTTCATTAGCATGAACCAGTGAGAGCTACTGAGTAAGATTTACATGGCATGTTAAAGAGGTTTAAAATAAATGAAGTTTTCAGTCATCTTCACCTACCTTTTTCACTTGGCTTCATACAGTTGAGCTTCTCATTATTCATGAACCAGAACAAACTACAGAATTGTACTAACTGTGTCAAATTGTAGTACAGTGATCCCTCGGTTAACGAGCGCCTAGGTTAACGAGATTTCGGTTAACGAGTTACCTTCCATAAGATTCTTAACTTCGGTTAACGAGCAATCCCTCGATTAACGAGTTTCTTACGAGCGCCCCTCGACATGTTTTCGCTTGCATTTGGCGGTCCACCAGCTGTAGTATTAGTCCGCCAATTCAGTAATCTGTTCTAGGGCTTAAATTCCTTACTATTTTAGTAAATATCAAGAAGTTTGTACTATTCAATAATTGTAAAAGTTTAATATTAATATTTTTTAGTCATTTTAACAATTATTGAACATAATTGACGTATAGGAAGCTATTTTTTTGCGCGCCAAACAGCCTGTCAATACACCATACAGGCGTCAGTCTCTGAGTCCTTTTAGTGGAGGTAACATCTTGCTTCAGACTCTTTTCAACATAAACGCTTTTTTCTGTGTTTCCAAGCAAATTATTGGTCATTTTGAAATATATTTTACATATTGACAATATATAATGCAGTGCAGTGTTGATTTAAAGAAAATAATCTTGAATTACACCAAGAGAACAAAAATTTTATGGATGAAATGGCACCATGGGGTGACTTCTCTTCCACCCCAATGCCTTCTCTTCTCCCTTCTCCTCCACCCCCATTGTAATTCCCATCATCTTCATCCAGGAGCCTTCTACATACACACCTCAAAGTAAGTGTACCTTTTTTGTTGATTTTAGGCAATTTTCGGTGAGCTGGAACCAATTACCCAAAACCCATTGAAACAATGGTTTCGGTTCACGAGTTTTTCGGTTAACGAGCAACCTTCTGGAACGAATTGTGCTCGTTAACCAAGGGACCACTGTACTGTAATACAGAGGGTTCTCATAATAAGTGGTTAATAAGGGCCAGAAAACAGCTACTGATAGTAAAACAACTTATACTGTACAGTAAAAAGAAATTAATTCCCCTAAAAATTAATTGGAATGGGGTCTAATCGGTACCATTACATTGTAAGTGACACTCATAAAGTTTAATTTGGTATGTTTTTTAACATTTATATATACCTTAGATTTTTTTTTAAACATTTGATTACACCTTATTTTATTAAATTATTAAACTTTATAAATTATTTAAGGCACTTAAAGTCGTTTGGGGTCGGTGTGTTGATGCAGCGCAAGCTACCTAACCACTCACTCACTTCAGTGAAAGTGGTTCATTGACATGCTCACCACTTTTCTTATGAGTTATAACTTCTAATTTTATGTCTATCCCATAGCTACTACGTCTCTTTTTAGCCACTATACCACCTTACTTCAGTCTGAAACTAATGGCTAAAAATATAGTCCACCAATGTCAAAAGACAACAAAGTTGATAATTAGAGATCTTGGAGCACATCAAAATAATGCTTGTGGACACAGGCGACAGGTACTGAGCATGCATAGAACAGAGAGAAGGATGAACTTTAAGAGAATGGGAGGCAGGTGGGAATTTCAATCGCTCAAACACTTGTGCTCCTAATGATAGACGGATTTCAGCCTTAGAATTCACTTAACTTTGGGGACTTTTTACGTGTAGTTCCACAATTACAGTAAGTCCTCGTTTAACGTTGCCCCCGATAACGTTGTTTTGTTATAACGTCGCTACTCTTTAGATACCAATAATTCGGTTAATGTCGCGACGACTCAGTATAACGTCGTTACGGACTATTTTTTATGGCGCATCACCCTCTCTCGTCTTGCCGCGCTACGCTTTCTAGTCTCGGTGCGCTACCTCTCAATCGCGGAATGTCACAGCGTCCTGAAGCGTCATCAGTCTTTGTTAGGCTTTCACAGCGTTCGTGCCCATCAAGTGCTATTGATGCTAGTGTTGTGAAGAAGCAATGCAAGACCATTAGCCTTGCTATGAAAATGGAGGTTTTAAACCGGGAGGAGGAGCCACCCGCCGGGTCTCAGTGACTCGCCACCCTCCTCCTCCTTCGCTCCATTACCCACCACACACTCGCTCCACCACCTCCGCCCATCAGTGAGTACAATACAAAATGATTTAGTTTTATATATGCAGTATATACTATTTTCTACAAAAATGTCATTGAATTTCTGTATATGTAATGTATTTCATGGGGCAAAGGGAGGCTCCGGAACGTAACTCCCGTATTTTATCTATTTCCTTTGGGGAAAATTTATTCCGTTAACGTTGCGGTTTTCAGGAACGGAACCACGAAGTTAAGCGAGGACTACTGTATTTTTACTTAAGTGCAAAACCACTTAAAATGAAGACACCTCTAACTAGGACCCCCTGTAGCATATTAAAGTTCTGTACAGGTTAAAAATAAATGACAATAAACATTTTGTAAACAAATAAAAATAAAAATAAATCACCAAATGGTGAGCAAAATTTACCTTTTTTAACAGGAATTAGCCCACCCAGTCACATTAGACCACACTTTATGTTTCCAATATCTTTCCAAGCAGTAGTATGTACATCACTGTTTGATAGCTGCCTACTACCTTTTACCTGATAAATTATTTTTTACTTTCATTTGCAGTATTTTGTCATTCTATTTCTTCTTTTAAATTAAGTGATTTTAGTTGTATAAAAGAAATTAAGCTATTATACTGTACAGTATAGTGGATTTTAAACATTGTTCTTTAAGTACAGTATGCAGATAGGGTATGTTTTTTGTGTTTTGACTTAAGAATGTCCGTAGAAACAGAACTGGTACGTAACCCGTGGACTGCCTGTAATAATAAAGAAAAATTCCCTTAATATGTAAAGGACCCTTTTTTTTCTGACTGGACTACAAAGGGAATCTTTTTCTGGTAACTATTAAACAAAGTATTGTACAGTATACACAAACCTGTACAGTACAGTACAGGTATCCCTCACTGTACGTACATTCGAGATACGAAAATTTGCTTAAACAAATTTCCTAAATTACCACCTCTTTTTCGTGTTACGAAAGCTTCCCCCACTTATATCAATTTGAGTCCTGGCAAAAATCCAAATCACGCGCCCCCGGGAATCAGCTAGGGCGACCACATCCCCCTAGCACTCTCCTTACCAGGCAGAGGCGGGAGTTATGGTTATTTTTCAACTTATAACTTTGGCTATACATTACTGTGTGAACACGGTGACAAAAAAGATAAAAGCAGTGGTGACGAAACAGGTGAAAGCAGTGGTGACGAAACAGGTGAAAGCAGTGGTGACAAAACAGGTAAAAGCAGTGGTGACAAAACAGGTGAAAGTAGTGGTGACAGTGGTGACGAAACAGGTGAAAACAGTGATGACGAAACAGGTGAAAACAGTGGTGACGAAACAGGTGAAAACAGTGGTGACGAAACAGGTGAAAACAGTGGTGACGAAACAGGTGAAAACAGTGGTGACGAAACAGGTGAAAACAGTGGTGACGAAACAGGTGAAAACAGTGGTGACGAAACAGGTGAAAACAGTGGTGACGAAACAGGTGAAAACAGTGGTGACGAAACAGGTGAAAACAGTGGTGACGAAACAGGTGAAAACAGTGGTGACAAGCAAGAATTGAAAGCAGTGGTGACAGAAACAGGTGAAAACAGTGAGTGACGAAACAGGTGAAAAACAGTGGTGACGAAACAAGGTGAAAACAGTGGTGACAGAAACGAAATTGAAAACAGTAGTGACGAAACAGATAAAAGCAGTGGTGAGCCAGAAACAGAGGTGAAAACAGTGGTGACGAAACAGATAAAAGCAGTGGTGACAGAAACGGAAGGTGAAAACAGTGTTGTGAAGCAAATTAGAGCAGTGGTGAAAGCGAGCAAAGGTGAAAACAGTGGTGACAGAAACAGGTGAAAACAGTGAGGCTGACAGAACAAGGTGAAAACAGTGGTGAGCAGAGCAGGTAGAAAACAGCACAGTGGTGACAGAAACAAGGTGAAAACAGTGGTGACAAGAAACAGATAAAAGCAGTGGTGAAACAGGTGAAAACAGTGGTGACGAAACAGGTGAAAACAGTGGTGACGAAACAGGTGAAAACAGTGGTGACGAAACAGGTGAAAACAGTGGTGACGAAACAGGTAAAAACAGTGGTGACGAAATGGGCACACCCCTCTTCATTATATCATACTCCGGGTTACCATTGTTTGTTTACCTGCAGTGTAGTTATATAATTATGATGAGCCAATTTATCCATGTATGACCACACTACATTACAGTATATGTATGTATGTATGTATGTGTGTGTGTGTTAGAGTAGCAGGCGACAGTATCATCTACACAACACTACCTTCTGTCACCACTTTTTCACCTGTTCGTCACCACTGTTTTCACCTGTTTCGTCACCACTGTTTTCACCTGTTTCGTCACCACTGTTTTCACCTGTTTCGTCACCACTGTTTTCACCTGTTTCGTCACCACTGTTTTCACCTGTTTCGTCACCAATGTTTTCACCTGTTTCGTCACCACTGTTTTTACCTGTTTCGTCACCACTGTTTTCACCTGTTTCACCACCACTGCCTTTACCCATTTCGTCACCGCGTTCATCACCATTTGAAGGGCAATACATTACAGGAAATTCTTACAAAATTAATACATCAATATATATATGAAAATAACTGCTGCTTGGGATATAAAATAATCAAAACACCAAGTTTACACAAGTGTATTACGTAATTATGCCTCGGCATAACAATACAGTACATTGAATCATGCAAGAATTTCACTAAGACAATTTATTAAAGACGAAAATAAAAAATAAAAACGTTATTACTTATGCAAGCATCTCACTCAAAAAAATTACTGTATTAAAGACTAAAACAAGACAAAAATAAAAACATTGTTAATACGCCTGCAATCACCTCACTTAAACAATATGTGAAAGACTAAAATAAAAAAAATAAATAAAAACATTGTTATTACTCATGCAAGCTTGGAATTAGACACGGTATTATTTTACTTTTGGACATACCGCTTCCCAAAGTTATAAACTTATGAAATATTTAGATCTCCCTATTCTGAGCATTTTGAACCCCACATATACCAGGCAGAAATGGATAATAGCGACACAATTGAATTTAATTGATTTTATGTACTTTTCAGTCTTCGTCTATGTGAGATGTTATCGTCATGAAAGCAAGCTAATTATGAGCATGTTTACATCACGCATGCGTGACGTCTTCTAGTCGTGAGCAAAGATGTATCGATCTTCACACAAATTTTTTTCGACCAATCAAAATTTAATCTTTTCAAAGGGAGGAGCCAAGATACGGATTTGAAGGATTTCAATTTCAATGACGCAGCGAGACAATGGCCGTGGTAGAGGTTGGGTGTGATTCATGCTCCTACGAATACTTTAAGTTTATTGCCGAGTTTTACGAGAAAGACGGTCAAGCTGTCCAATTCCTACGTAATCACGGTGTTTTCCCTACGTCTGGTGAGTGCCCGCAATCTAAATTGCCTTGTAAATTTAGAAAGAACAAGAACCAGAGGTTGACCCTGAACCTATCCCTGGACCTTCCACTTCTAACTAAGGTATTGTACTTTCGGATATGGTGCGCCCCAAAGTTTAAAACTACTGAAACATTTAGATCTCATTATTTTGAGTCTTTTGAACCCCATTTATACTAGTTGGAAATGAATAGGATAGGATTGGTTAGGTTAGTTTAAGCCGAGCCTACCGAGGGTCCGGAGGCAGAGCCCCCGGCTAGGGGTTAGGTTAGACGACTCGTTTTTGTGTTCTCCACCCAAAACCCTGATTTCTCAGGCTCTCCCCCATTATCGATGGAGGGGGGGGGGGGGCAAAAACGAGCAATTTCCGCCAAAAATGAAGGTCAGATTCGTTTAAAACACACCAAAATACACTGGAAAATCATATTGGTCAACCCCTAGGGACTCCTGTCCGAAAGTAAAAAGTTACCGAAGACAATGACTATTTTTTAGGAAATTAGAAGTGGTGATATTTTTTCTTCATATTCATCCCACAGCTTCCAGAGACGGACTTGTTTGTCATGATTTGCTTTTCGACACACCCAGATTAGTGTTAATTAGTGACCACATCTTCCGGCCCAATAGCTCCTTCCCAGCTATCAACATCCTCACTTTACAATCCTACAACTATAAATTCTTACTTTACTTTATCTTCCTACTATGAGTTACCCTCATACACAGTGCTCAGCAGCTAGTGTGCTTCTTACCAGTGTTAAGATCGCCCATATCCACTTTGGCATGGTTGGCCAGTTAATCATGTGACAATTTCAACCAGTCTTATCACAAATATAAAATGCAATTAAAATGTATACTATTTATCTATTTGCTAGTACGTAGTAGTCACCAATAACTGTTTTTGTTAACATGCAACAGGCTATAAGGCCCGGTAATATTTACCAATGTTTTAATCGTTTTCTTTGTTAAATAATTAATATTCAAGTATAATAATAACACAATAATTCTCGAATCGTCTGTATACATGTGTAATTTCTATTCGTGTAAAATAATAACTTAGAATTGGTCACTAATACCAGCGACTGTTAATGGTGACGAAACGGATTTGATATTGGAGACGAAATGTGTTTGGGTGACGAACCGGATTGGTGACGAACCGGAGTGGTGACGAAATGGGGTGTATCTGACACTACATATAACATCCAGTTCTGCTTCTTGCTTCAGGCTATCTCATATTTATCCTGCATACAGGGAAAAACATCCATACGACTCCAAAATTACTTTATTCGACACTAAACCATAAAAATACATGGATAAAGTGAAGATAAACCTGTGAAACAATAGTTATTGATAGATATTATAGATAAAGATAAGTCCTTCCTCGTAGAGTTAATCACATCCCAACAGCCTACCATGTAAACATTCATTAAAACATATACATAACCATTATTCTCCTCAAACTAAAGGCTTCCATTAACCCTTATATGAACGAGGATACATTTGTGCAATTAAAAGAACCGCACCGCATTTGTACTATCATAAAATACACGAAATATTGAAATTTACCCGTTTATGTAGACGACGCCATTACTCTGCACGCCATCGCCGTCCACTCCCTTGTTTATGTCAGCTGGTGTGACGTCACTAGCGGGAAATTCAAAGTCATAAAATTCCCTTCTGAAATAATGTATGAAAATTAAGAATAAGAATAATTAATGACGTCATGATGCATTATTATCAATTAGTTTATATTTTATTCACGATAATATGTCATTATTTCCGTAATTTAACTCCATTATCGTTCACGTTGAATTGGTCATACATGTACAGTACATAAGTTATTTACCCTGTAATTGTCACAAAATAACACATTGTCTAAAATTATGGTGAATATAACCAAGTAGAGGGTAACGTACATAATAACCGTGTCACAGGGGTCACAGCTGAAGATTGAAGAAGCCGCAAGTCCAGAAAACCGTGAGGGCAAACTTTTTCGGAGTGAGGGTTGTGAACTCTTGGAACAATCTACCAGAGAGTGTTGTGACGGCACCGAGTGTGAGCTCTTTCAAGAGAAGACTTGACCAACACTGGAGCGGGTTCAGGTACATTCAGGAGCCGGTGCATGCCCAGTATTTGCCAACAGTGCGTGACAGAGATGTGACCGATCGCCCGGGCGGCTAGCGAGCCGATCTTTTGGTGAAGAATATAAAGGAAAAGGAAAAGTAATCAGAGACGTGACCGATCGCCCAAGCGGCTAACAAGCCGATGAGTGGCGAAGAGGATAAAAGTATAAGTAAAAAGTAACAGAGAGGTAGTACATGAATAGTACTTGCCAACAGTGCGTGACAAAGACGTGACCGATCGCCCAAGCGACTAACGAGCCGATTAATGGTGAAGAGGATATAGGTAAAAAGAGTAAAAGTAAAAAGGATGGGGTGTTGGAGGCGTCCAAAAAGTTGCGGATTTTGCTGCGGCGCTGTAGGCCCCCTGGTCTTTTTTTTAATCTGACCAATATCATGGGCATTTTGATGCATGTGCACTTGATATTAAGAGATATTCTGAGGTTAATAGAAAATAATTATTACTATACAAAACGCCCGAGTACAATACTGAAAACGGGCAAGGGGCGACCAAATTGAGGTGTATTAGCATCTCAAGGGGCACTACTCACTCAAGTGTCCTTACTTGGAGCTGGCGGACGCTCGCCCCACAAGGGGTCACAGCTCATGATTGAAGAAGCCGCAGGTCCAGAAAACTATGAGGGCAAACTTTTTCAGAGTGAGAGTTGTGAACACTTGGAACAATCTGTCAGAAAGTGTTGTGACGGCACCGAGTGTAAGCTCTTTCAAAACCAGACTTGAACAACAGTGGAGCAGGTTCAGGTACATTCAGGAGCCGTTGTGTAGTGGATTCCTCCCCTACAAACGCCGTTTGTCGCTGACTAGCCGACCCTCGAATTCCCAGTGTATGCCTCGTGGTCTAGGTCAGCAACCAGCGCCGCCATACATTACGGAGGTCAACTAATAAGCCACGCCTGCCCCCGCTATATAAGACCTCACCTCTTGGTGACCTACCTCTGTCTACCTACAGCCACCAGCAAGCAACACCTCCTCCTCCGCTCCTGCCTGGCGGCTCCCGCTCCCGCCGGCGACCCACAAGCTGGTCCTCCTCTGAGCACCCTCACCAACCAGCTCTCTCTACTCAACGCTTGTAACCATGCTGCCTTTCCAGCACCAAGCTGCATTGTACATCCAATACAATATGTGTACAGAGAGCACATTGTGTGTTTCCTTTCTCCATCCCATCCTGAGTATGAACCAATATCCCATACCCCACAAATGGTGACCCCCGGAGATTCGCACTCACACAGGATGGAGGAGAAACTAATCACTCTCCCGGTCTTCAAGCAACATGGAAGACTGGCTTATCCACACAGAGGCAGCTTTCATCGGCTCTACAACTACTGTCTCTACACCGCAGGTTAGACACCCTAGATTAGCTCTGCTACTCTCAGCAGACAGCCGCTCCTCTTCCTGCCCCAAGCACCACGTCCTACCGACCCCAACACACCCGTCCTGCCTCAGACGCCGCCCCCGGCCCAGCAGTACCCCCTGCTACTGTCCTGGACCCTCCTGCTGTCGTGGCCCCTACTACTGACGCGGCCCCACACACACCTCTTTTCTTCCTCAGGTACTCCTTGCTACTGTCCTGCACCCTGCTGCTGTCATGGACGCTGCTGCTGTCATGCACCCTGCTGCTGTCATGGACCCTCTTCCTGACGCAGCCTCTGCTCCTGACCCAGACCCACACACCCCAGCAGGCGCATCTGAGGACTCTGTACCTGCCGTGAGAGAAGCACAACATTCATCGCCTCCACAACCCTCCTTCTCCCTTTCTTCTCCCACAGATCTCGTGTATCTAGACAAAGTTGTCTCCCCTAGCGGCCGGCTCATCCACTTCCTCGCCGTTATGTCTCACATGTGGCATACAACCCAGCCGACAATAATCTAAATAAATATTTTTCATCAGTTTTCACCACCGAAAATTTGAACATGATACCCGAGGCACCGATTCTATTCAGAGATAGTGAAAAAAACAAATTAAGCGAGATAGTAGTGACTAGTAACGATGTTAGTAAGCAAATAGACAAACTAAAGCCTAATAAGTCACCTGGTCCTGATGAGATATTTGCCAGAGTATTAAAGGAATGTAAGGAAGAGCTTAGTATGCCCTTAGCAAAGTTGTTTAACATGTCCTTAAAAACGGGTGTAGTACTAGAATCCTGGAGGATAGCGAATGTAATACCGATTTTCAAGAAGAGGGATAGATCACTATCCTCTAACTACCGCCCAATCAGTCTAACATCAATAGTAGGCAAATTACTGGAAGCAATCATTTCAAACTCTGTTCAAAATCACCTGGAGAAGCACCTATTGATCAATGATCCCCAGCATGGCTTCACAAGCGGGCGTTCTTGTCTAACTAATCTATTAACATTCTTTTCATCAGTTTTCGAATCGGTGGACAAGGGGCACAATTATGATGTGGTATATCTCGACTTTAACAAAGCCTTCGACAGAGTCCCCCACGAAAGACTAATTAGAAAGGTAGAAGTGCATGGCATCAAAGGTAATATCCTTAAATGACTTAGGGCGTGGTTACAGGACAGGAAACAGCGAGTGAGCATTAACGGCACTAAACTCCATTGGAGCAACGTCACTAATGGAGTTTCCCAAGGCTCAGTACTTGGACCATTATTATTTATTATATACATAAACGACATAGATATCGGCATAGACAGCAACATAAGTAAATTTGCTGATGACACCAAAATACGACGTGTTATTAAATCTGACGAGGACTCAGCAAAACTACAGGAAGATCTAAACAAATTTTTCGAATGGTTTGAAAAATGACAGATGAAATTCGACGTGGACAAATGTAAAGTACTCAGCATAGGAGATGTAAACAGGGAAACCAGTTACCAGATGAACAACGATGCCATTGAGAAATCCAACTGCGAGAGAGATTTAGGAGTAATGATAATTAGGAACCTTAAGCCAAGTAAACAATGTGTATTTGCTCGAAACAAGGCTAATAAAGTACTTGGGTTCATACAAAGGAGTGTTAGTTACAAGACTAGCGAGGTCATCCTAAAACTATATCTTGCGCTTGTGAGACCACACTTGGATTATGCAGTTCAATTCTGGTCACGTTATTACAGAATGGATATAGAATCCTTGGAAAGAATTCAGAGGAGAATGACAAGGCTAATCCCGGGCATTAGGAACCCTGAGTACAGAGACAGGTTAAAGCATCTTAATTTGCACTCCCTCGAGAGACGTAGAGTGAGAGGATATGATAGAGGTGTATAAATGGAAGTCAGGGCTGAACAAAGGGGACATTACAAAGGTACTCAAACTATCCAACTAGAATCGAACTCGTAACAATGATTTTAAATTAGACAAATTTAGATTTAGGCGCGAAATAGGTAAACACTGGTTTGGTAACAGAGTAGTGGATGAATGGAACAAGTTACCAAATATCATCATTAACTTGAATATGCTGGATAGCTTCAAACAGGTTGGATGCTCATATGAGCAATAGGGGTTGGGTGTAAATGGGACTGCCCAGTATGGGCCAATAGGCCCGCTGCAGTTTCCTCCATTCTTATGTTCTTAAGTCTCCTACACCGCCCGTTCTGCCTCACATGTGGGATGCAACCCTGCAGACAAGTCTCCTACACCGCCTGGAGGGAAGGGGGAGTATTGTAGTGGATTCTTCCCCTACAAACGCCGTTTGTCACCGACTAGCCGACCCTCGAATTCCCCAATTCCCCAGTGTATGCCTCGTGATCTAGGTTAGCAACCAGAGCTGCCATGACGGAAGTCAACTATTAAGCTACGCCTACCTCCGCTATATAAGACCTCACCTCGTGGTAACCTACCTCTTTCTACCTACAGCCACCAGCAAGCAACACCTCCTCCTCCGCTCCTGTCCTGGCGCTCCTGCTCCAGCCGGCGACCATGGCGACTCACAAGCTGGTCCTCCTCTGAGCACCCTCACCACCCAGCTCTCTCTACTCAACGCTTGTAACCATGCTGCCTTCCCAGCACCAAGCTGCATTGTACATACAATACAATATGTATACAGAGAGCACATTGTGAGTTTCCTTTCTCCATCCCATCCTGAGTGTGAACCAATATCCCGTACCCCACAGGTGCATGCCCAATACTTGCCAACAGTGCTTAACAGAGACGTGACCGATCGCCCAAACGGTTAACGGGCCGATTAGTGATGAATAGGATAAAAGTAAAAAGTAAAAATAAAGTAAAAAGTATTGGAATTTGCTGATGATAGGGGGGGGAGGGGGTTTTAGTGTACCCCTGCTGTGGAATGAAGAAAAAACTAACAATAATAATGGAGGGATTCCACACAGGTCACTGATGTCCTTCCCTAGACATAGCCGCTTCTAGTGGGTGGTCATTAGGTAAATAAGGTAAAATACGGTAAAGTACAGTATTGTAAAGTGAACTGCCAGACCTGTCTCTCGACTCTAAACAAAAAATAATAGTTATACAGCGTATCAACTTCTACTATCTTCCCAGGATACATTAATTTGTAAATAATAATATTTTTTATGATTGATTAAATAACTTGAAGACTTATATAAATTTCTATATCACGTGCCAAAGTGATAGTGATAGTATGTAAAAGGTTCGTAGTCCCTACTAGGCCTATTGTGTATAAACATACACTTGAGGATGATAGAGCTGTGGCTGTCTTGTAGTTGTAGTAACCTCTGGTGCTCTGCAGTAAGTATTATACACTTGGCTGAATGAACAATGAAGGAGCTGTTATCATGAGGGAAAAATTTAATTCATTTGTGATGCGAGTGACACTAACATTGGCGAGTGAGGTAAACCAGTGCTAACATGTATTTATCATACAAATCAAGCAGGTCTTATAAGGTCCCTTGTAAGGCTCTTCATGAATGTGGTGCGTCCCCGTCTGGTGCACCTCAGTTACCCAGAGAGATTAGAACGCCTGCAACTGCCTAGCTTTTACTGTAGACGGGCAAGGACGACCTAATTGGGTCTTTTTATATTAGTGCACCATTTTATATAACCTAACCTAATCACCCCTGATTAGGTTAGGTTTGGTTGTTTTTTTTTTATTTATTTTTTACATATATTTCTGATACCCAAAGAAAGAACGGTGCACTACTATAAATTGACCCCTAATTGAGGTGTATCAACATCTCAAGGGGCACTATTCAGTCGAGTGTCCATACCTGGAGCTGGCAGATGCTCGCCACACAAGGGGTCACAGCTCAAGGTTAAAGAAGCCGCAAGTCCAGAAAACTGTGAGGGCAAACTTTTTCGGAGTTAGAATTGTGGGCATTATTTAATTTGTTTGCCTCCAAATTATTTTGAAAATTTTATAGGTGCAATCCGTAATTTTGACAATTCTCATGCACTTCGGTTAATATTTAGAAGTTGCCACCACCTAATTGACTTTTAAAAATGTGTTTTTATAGTGTAAATCATCGTGTTAATACAAATATGACCTTCATTGCCATTGGAAATGAGCAGTGGTTGAGATATTGAAAAAAGTAGAAGGTCAGACAATGTAAAAACCTCAAAAACTAAAAAAAACCCTAACCTAACCTAATCCCTAGTGTGTATGAAACTTACCTAAAGTAAGAGATACAAGAGGATAGAGTGATGTGACTTAAATGAGGAAGCAGTGTCTTCATCAGTGTCTCTCTCTTGTCACAGCACCATGCATGGCTGTCTACACGGTACTGACACTCTGAATTACATCTCGGACACTTTACGGATGAAACATGAACACCATGAGCCCTAAAAATGTCAACGGCTGCTGCTTCATTGCCCAAAATGTGGTGAATAATACGGCAGCCAGCCAATGTACAGTACTGTACATCCTTCTCACACAGATGCCATCTTCAGACTGGCCACATATGCTAATTAGTGCACGAGTATTACGTCAATTGGCACTCATGCTGATTGGTGCACACGACTATGATATCACATTAACACTCACACTCATTGACCAAATATTATAAAATAAAAGTTAAAATAATTCAAAACAATAAATTTCCGACAAATGTTATAAAATAAATCATTTATATTGTTTTCTCTATCTCCCCATACAGAATATGACTCAATAACTAGTTAGGTGGTGGCAAGTTCTTAATACTGTATTGACCAACTTTTCTTCAGTGGCATTTCTGGCGCAAATTACAATGTAAGCGAGATGTTTAACATTTTATTATGTATGAAAATTTGCCTTTTACTTGTTGCCACTAAATGAATCTCGTAAATTTTATAGTTGCAATCGGTAATTTTGACAATTCTAAGATACTTTTCTTCAACGGCATTTCTGGCACTAATTACGAATAAGCAAGATATATAATATTTTATTACGTACATTTGTACAGTCACCCAAAAAAGTCCTGTCGCGAACCAGGAACCTCGAGATTCAGACTCTTGAATCCGAAGCATTTATGGACAGAATAATGTATCAGTGTCTACTGCTTTGGGTTCACGAGTCCGAATCGTGGTTCGTGACAGGACTTTTTTGGGTGACTGTACGTGGCAGTACACACCCAGAACATCGAATGGCTGTGGAGCCCTCCCAGTTAGGTTGGGTTTAAAATTGTTTTTCCCATGGTTTTTGGTGTGTTTTGAACACTTTTTACCTTGATTTTTATAGCTAATCTGAGATTGGAGGGGTGGGGGGTTTATCTCAGAAACTGCTGATTTGGACCAGAAATGAAGATAAAATTTTTCATAACATCAGAACCCACCAGAAATACAGAGTTTCAACTTTGATCTCATTTAGTGGCAACAAGTGAAAAGTTACCGAAAAGTGAACTCTTGGAACAATCTGCCAGAGAGAGTTGTGGTGGCACCGAGTGTGAGCTCTTTCAGGACAAGACTTGACCAATGCTGGAGCAGGTTCAGATACAGTGAGGAGCCGGTGCATGCCCAGTGCTTGCCATAGTGTGTAACAGAGATGTGACTGACTGCCCAAGCAGGTAACGGGCCGATCGTTGGGGAAGAGGATAAAAATATAATCGTATGTTAGCAATGTTATCCACCAAGTGAGTCAGATCTATTTAAAGCAGTGGCTAAATTACCGGTCATGGCATAGCTTGACAAGCTGTTTTGGACTATTTTTCCAGTCGATTGTTGTTGTAATAGAAGTATAATGACATAATAGTATGGTAATAGTGGAGCAGACTGCCAACAGCACAAGGAGTTTTTCGATTGGAGGAGACAGTTAGCACCAGAAATAACTTAAGGAATTTAACCAAAATTTCTGGAAATACTATTAGCATGATACTGAACACAAAAATGGAAGCAAGAATGCACAGAACCTCTGAGAACCTGACCTAGCCCACTTAACTTTACCTAACCTATCTAATCTACCTAACCTCACCTTACTTGCTAACCTGTGCATTGTTTTGATTTTCTTACTATAATCCAAACACAATCTCTAGATAAAATGAACAAAATCTATCCAATTTATATCTAGGTAATATATGAGAACACCTCTACCACCAGAAAGAGTTGTGCAATTAAATTTTTTCCACAAATTTTCTTATTATAATAAGTATTATAAAAAAGGCAACATGTACTAGAACCTGATCTACTACTACTTTGCTGTCACTCAGAATCGAGTATAATGATCATGCAGCTATGATACAATGATATGAGTTATTGAGGATGTCACCTTTGTTGGTGAGCTCTGATGTGACTAGAAAGGCGAATACGGGACCAGCAGGGTCGTCCACAGATGTTACTCATGTGGAGGACTACTTCTAGTGTGGGAATGGTGGCGGTAGCATCTTTCTGGTGTTGGCTCTTGTCTGCCTCGGTATGCAGTCGAGCTAATTCGACAGTATTGACTCCTTCTCGTGTGGTGCTCCTCCATGTAACTGTCTCCCAGGTGAGGGGATCGATTTGGCACTTTTTCAGGTTTGTCTTAAGACTATCCTTAAACCTTTTCAACTACCCACCAGCGTTACGTTTACTACTCATTAGGTGACTGTAAAGTAGCTGCTTTGGCAGTCTACTGTCGTCCATGCGGGTAACATGGCCAGTCCAATGTAGTTGTTCATGGATAATGGTGGCCTCAATGCTCCTACAGTTGGTGTCAGCAAGAATACTGGCATTTGTTCTCTTGTCTTCCCATGGAACGTAGACTACGTTGGTGAAAGTTTTAAGTGCCTTGGGGTGCCTCCTGTATGTGACCCATGTCTCACTGCCATATAGCAGGGTGGGGAGGACCACTTCTTGATATACGTGTGGTGGACAGGTGGGAGCCGAGATATTGAAAGTGGGTAACATAAGACAGGGTAGTACCGTTGAGCTGGATGGATGGTGGAGGTGTGGCTGAACCAGGGACAGGCTGAAAGAGAATCTGAGTCTTACGTACATTTACCTCAAGGCTGAAGTGTGCATATGCATCTGCATAGGTGTTCAGGATCTCCTGTAGGTCGCATTCAGTGTGAGCAACAAGAGTGAGGTCGTCTGCATACTGAAGTTCAGTAATAAAGCTGCCGACACCTTTGTTCCTGCTTAGAGTCTTCTTATGTTGAAAAGACCCCCCCCCCCCTTCATTCGGTACTGGATGTCCACTCCGCTGGCTAAATTGGCACTGGCACGAATAACGAAGGCAGCCAAGAAAGTGGAAGAGGGAGTTGGTGCCGGTACACATTGTTTTACCCCATTTGCTTAGGGAAGAACTCATACTGGGTGACATTGTGCAGGACACTGCTGTTCATGCCATCGTAGAGTTGCCTCACAATGGCGATGAATTTTGGTGGGTAGCCAAAATGGCTGAGGGTCTTCCCTGTTGACGGAGTCGAAGGCGTTGGTTAGGTCGATGAAGGCCATGCACAGGTCACGACGCTGTACTCTGCACTTTTCCTGTATCTGGCAGGCAGCAAAGATCATGTCAGCAATGCCTTGTGATGGTGTAAAGCAACATTAAAATTCTGGGAGAAGGTTTTCCGCCTCGAGAAAAAATCTGTTTAGGAGGACTTGGGTGATAATCTTGCCAGCTACAGACAGCAGCGAGATCCCGCGGTAGTTACCACAGTCTGACCGGTCTTCCTTGTTCTTATAAATATTAACGATGGAGGCGTCTTTAAGAGCAAGGGGGATTGCCTCCTTTTCCCATATATTCTCCAGGAGAGAGTGGAAACGGCTGGTAAGCAGAGATCCTCCTGCTTTATACACCTTGGTTGGGATTCCACCAGGCCCTGAAGCTTTGTTATTTTTCACCTGTTTGATGGCAGTAGCTTCCTCATCCAGGGATGGAGGATATCTGAGGTGGGTCAGCTCTGGATGCTGAGCAACCTGCTGGGTAGTCTGGACATCCACATCGGTGTTTTGGTTGAGCAGCGAAGGAGGCCTTCTTCGTCTATAATTGGGGTAGTTACTGTTGGATGAGCGGAGGGGTGCTGCGCCATGAGTAATTGGCCCATAGAATGATTTAGTGGAATTGAAAAATTTGCCCATCTTGTGTTGATCTGCAAGTTTTTGTGTTCCATGTGTTAAATTTTTAAACCAGTCATTCTTTAGATTGCATAGTTCGCGCTGGACCTCTGCTTTCTTTTTGCGGAAGGTATCAGCTTTGGTTCGAGACTGGGGGTTGCTCTGCCAGTCAGTTAAAGCAGCACATTTATCATCGACGAGTATACCGTGGTCCCTCGGTTAACGAGCGCCTCGGTTAACGAGTTACCTTCCATAAGATTCTTAACTTCGGTTAACGAGCAATC